AGAGTGGGCCCAAAGCATCAGCATTACTTGGGTACTTGTTAGAAATGCAGATTATCACATTCCAACCAAACATACTGAATTGGGAACTCTAAGAGGGCCCAGTCATTTTTGTTTTAACAATCTTTTAAAGGAATTCTAATGCATTTTATTGTTTGAGAAGCACTGGATGAGAACACTGATTCCAAAAACCGAATATGCATCAGAATCATCCAGGGCATCTAAGCATACAGATTCTTGGTTCTACTTCAAGTTAGAAATCAGGTAATTCTAATACAGCCAGCAGGGACTTATTCCAGAACAATTTATGAGAATCCCTGGGCCAGACCTTCCCTAAGGTTCTTTCCAGTTCTAAAACGACATACTCAAGAGCAGCGATTCTTCACAAGTTTAGATTAAAGAGCCCTTATGAATTCAAGGCTTTAATGATACACACACGGACACACAAAAATGTATTTGCATATAATTTCAGGGGTTTCAGATCCTTGTTGCCTATATATGGGCTCCTGGTTAAAAGTCCCTACTCCATGCACTGGTTATGTGTAGAAACCTCTTTGTAAAATGGGAAGCTGCAGAGATCACCTAAGCATCCTCACTGTTCTTGCTCACTGTCATCATCCAGAGAAGCAGAGAACTATTTTTTTTCAAGGATGCTTTAAAATGAGCAAGAGAAGAGAAGCCAAGTGCCAAATGCCTGACGTAGAATAGAGCATGGTTATCAAGAGGAAAACCCTCTGGTCCTACTGTTCAAGATTTAATCCTGACTCTAACACTAATAAAAAAAATGACCATATGATCTTGGGAAATTTGATTAAATTGTTTTCATTTGTTGGTTCATACTGCATAACAGTGCTGTAAAAAGATAATAAATATATATCACTAATTACCAAATGCCTGGCATTTGGTAGTATGTCCTCAATTGATATTGGCTGCTACTGTAATTAAAACTTAACCATATCTTATGGAATGTAGTGTGTGTGTGTGTGTGTGTGTGTGTGTAGCACCATTTCATACTTCTTTTAAAATTTTCAGCATGCATCAGAATTACTTAGCTTAAATCATAAATTACTTAGCATTAAATCATAAATTGCTGGACTCCACTCTCAAAGTTTCTAATAGAGTCAGTATCCAATGACATTTCTTTTTTTTTTTTTTTTCTTTTTTTTTTTTTTTTTTTTTGGTACCGGGAATTAAACCTATGGGCTCTTAACATCCACATCCCGGCCCTTTTTATTTTTTGAGATAGTGTCTCCTTAAGTTACCTAGGGCCTCACTAAGTTGCTGAAGCTGGCTTTGAACTTTCAATCCTCCAGGATCTTAAGCAGCTGGTGTCCAGGTGTGGGCCATTGTATCTGGCCTCAATGGCATACCTTCCCAGGTAATGCTGATTCTGCTGGTCTGGGAACTAACATTCAAGGGTCACTATTGGAGACTACTTAGGGAGATAAAATAAATATGTAAAACATCAGAAAAGAGAACGGTGACAAGTGTTTATTTAGAGGTTATTTTTCAATGAGGGTTGAGAGATGTGAGTGAAGGAGAAAGTAAAGGAATCGTGAGCGAGGAGAGCCTCATGAGCAGGGCTAGTCAGGCAAGGCCCTGTGGAGGAAGGATTTGAGCTGGGCATTGAGGATTGAAAAGAAGTTATTCAAGGGAACTGAGGAAGTAGGCATTGTGGGCATGGACATCCCAGCCTCAGTGAACACTGTTTACAGATAGTCAACAGATGCATGACAGTAGTAGAACATACTTTTTAATATTTATCTTTTAGTTTTAGGTGGACACAATATCTTTATTTTATTTTTATGTGGTGTTGAGGATCGAACCCAGAGCCCTGCGCATGCCAGGCAAGCGCGCTACCGCTTGAGCCACATCCCCAGCCTAGAACGTAAATTTGTGGGTATAAAAATACAGGCCCAACCTAGTCTGAAGGATGGGATACTGCTTCTCAACTTGCCAGTTTGCATAACCATGTTTGAGGGTAGTTCATCAATATATGTACGTATTTTTAAACTCTAAATATTTAACTTTTTAATTTAATTGTAAATTCACAAATTAGAACTGTATTTGACATTTAACTTCGAATCCCATTGTCCATTCTCCAAAATTTAACTTAAGGAAAAAAAAATCAGAAATATATATTAAAGCATAATGATAAGGATGTTTATGCCAGCATTATTTATAGAAATAAAATATTATACTGGGACATTGGTTAAATGAACATTCTGGTGGATGCTGAGCAGCTCTTCCCAGATCCCCCTTCCTTGAAGCACTTGTCCTATCTGCTGTTGTCAGCAGAGAGCCTTGTCTGTCACCCTCTTAAGGGATGGCCTCAACTGTAGAGAATCACTTTTTTTCAAAGGCACATCCCTTCCTGCCACATTCAAAGATTGATTTGTTTGGAGTACAAAGAATGGGCATCTCAGTCCAGATGATTCTAGTTCTCAAGCTCCCCAGAGGGTTTGTTGAGGCTATTTTGGAGTCCAAATCATAATGCACACTCTACCCATTCCTGCTACTCCTTTCCATAGCTGTTGATCCCAAGGCACGCGCCCTCCCTCCCTCCCTCCCTCCCTCTCTCTCTCTCTCTCTCTCTCTCTGGTGTGTGTGTGTGTGTGTGTGTGTGTGTGTGTGTGTGTGTGTTTGAGACAGGACAGGGTTTCACTCTATTTCTGAGACTGGTCTTGAACTCATGTACTCCAGTGCTCCTCTTGCCCCAGGCTCCCAAGTAGCTGGGACTACAGGTGTGCACCACTGCACCCATCTCTAAGGGTTCTCCTTAGAAAACAACCTGAACATCAATTCGGCCTTACAGTCTGTCTGCTCCCCCGAAAACCTGAGAAAAATATACACCCTCCCCCGACAAATGGAACTTCATGTGAGAAGTTGAAATGATGTGCTTAGAAGGTTATTTAAACTCTTTGGGAAATTCTCATGACATAGATGAAGTAGAAAAAAAGCTTAGAGAACAGTCAAATTGCATGGCACTCTTCCTCCTTGCTTGAGATAGCAGAAAAAGTCATAGCTTTTAAAGAAAACAAGAGCATTTATGACACAGTTGTTAGTGGGTAGTCCTGGGTCCAAGGTCTGTTAGTGATTATTGGTCTCCTTTGCATTTTCTCAGATTTTCTATAATGAAACATATTATTTTGTAATAACAAAAGATCTCAGTGTTTAAAAGCCAACTCACCAGAGCCTGTCTTCAACTCCTTGAAGATGGCATGTTCCCAGCTGCTCCATCTCTCCCATGCTGACCTCTCGGCCACCACCCTCTTACCTAAGTCCTCTTCATCCTTCCGATGTCAGGTGAGAAACCCTACTTTAGCAACTTTCTTAAGCTTCCTGATTAGTTCCTTCTGTTTTATGTTTTATTCTTTGAATTCATTATTCTCCTAATTAGTAACTGATAGTCTTTCCTGCTGGGTTGTGAGCTCCATGAAGTCAAGGCATTTGATATTCTGAGATCTCTCTGTGACTTCAATGCATAGCACCATATCAGGTGTCTAGTAGGTGCTCAATAAACACTTGCTAAAAATATACATGAATGAAGCCAGTTGTATACCAAAGTATAGGATAGACTACAACCCATATTTAT